TGTGTGTGTGTGTGTGTGTGTGTGTGTGTGTGTGTGTGTGTGTGTGTGTGTGTGTGTGTGTGTGTGTGTGTGTGTGTGTGTGTGTGTGTATCGGTTAGCATCTGTGCACGTATAACAGCATGCGTGCCTACGCTTAGCTACACGATTATCTATAATTTGGTCGGCATATAACTTCAAAAGCCATGGCATTACTCGTTCTTAAGTAACTCGTTACGCTCTCAGCTCTTCGCGAAGCTCCCAATTAATGCAAATTGACGAGAAGCTTAGTTTTTTTTTTTTACATACGCGCTAATGCAAATATCCATAAAAAAATATGCGTCTTCGCCGCTCGTGGCACTCGCGTGTGGAGTAATTTCAAATAGATTACTATTTTACTTTACGGGAAAAGCGAGTAAAACCTCAACATAATCGCTTTGACCTGGGCGCTAAGACGGAAAGCGCGTGTTTGCGCCGTCGTGTCACGTATCGTTTGTCAATGTTAACATTTCATACACGTAGTGACTACGCGTTCAATCAGCCCATCTCTAGAGCGACGCTCATGTAAAGGCCGGCGTGTAATCTCCTTCGTTGGAGATTAAATGTATTTAACGGACGCCAGAAGATGTTAAATGCAGACTTGATAGTTACGGAACAAACGAGAGCGTAGACGTATTCATTCTCTGGCTATTTTGTCATCTTTTTTTACTCTACTTTTCTCGGCCTGGTACTACTCAAAAATGTTAGAGCGATCTTTTCAACACGAATGTGCAACAATCTGAGTCGGCATTTTATGTCTCGCGGTTTAGTAGCGTTATAACATTCATGCGTAAAAGTGAAATATAGAACGTGTCGATGAATACGTCACCTAGGTGTGTTAGACCAGATATGCCCAAACATGTAGTATTAAAAATGTCGAAGTAATTGCAGGTTAGCTATTATTTTTGATTTACTTTTTTATATTTGTAATTTTTACTATTATTACTTTAACGCTCACCTACAGCGATCTGCATTACACATGAACACAGATGCCATAACTCCACAACCCGTGTCGCGATGCTTTTAAAGACGTAAGTAAACTAACGCTGAACCATTCAAACTAAATCGATCTCGACACGTCAGATCATGGTCGCCTATACTCTACCAGACGCATGACGCTACTACTACTGATACTGCTGCTGCTACTACTACGACTACTGCTACTGCTACTGCTGCTGCGGCTGCTGCTGCTACTGCTACTGCTACTGCTACTGCTACTGCTACTACTACTGCTACTGCTACTGCTACTACTACTGCTACTGCTACTACTACTGCTGCTACTGCTACTGCTACTGCTACTACTACTGCTACTGCTACTGCTACTGCTACTGCTACTACTGCTGCTGCTACTGCTACTACTGCTACTACTGCTGCTACTGCTACTGCTGCTGCTGCTACTGCTGCTACTGCTACTACTGCTACTACTGCTGCTACTGCTACTGCTGCTGCTGCTACTGCTGCTACTGCTACTACTGCTACTACTGCTGCTACTGCTACTGCTGCTGCTGCTACTGCTGCTACTGCTACTA